TAAAACTATTTGGTCCAAAACAAAATATCTTGACACTATGTGGATATTTCATCACTTTTGATGGCTTTCTCTGGAAACAAAGTGACATTTTGGATGAAAGTGTGAAAAACTAACCTTTCTTTCCCTTAGAGAAATATAGCAGCACATTCAGCAGCGACAGGAAATGTAATGTGTAGCCCACATGTTCAAGAGAGATAAGTACAGTCCGACTTTCAGAAACTACTTCACAGCAAGGTTTTATCAGTTGATATTAATGTGGTCTGTAGTTTTCATATCCCCGTACATAATAAATTTACGCCAACATGGCCCATATTTCAAAGAACGAGGAGATATCAAAACAATTGGGAACTGAGTTTTTCATATAGGCTTGAAGGCTATTAATGGCTTGGCACTTAAAAATTTATTGCACAATTGTAGCCATTTATTTCATGCATTTTACATTGATCTCTGAAGAATTATAACATCGTTATGGCATACTTTTTCCTAAAGAAGAGAGAATGGGCTACGACTTACAATATTTTTATCTCCTATAAAGTATATAATGCTCTTAATGCTGTTATAAAATAATATTCATTATGATACCAAGGTAACACCTAGTCATAACTTTTGGTTATCAATCATATTTGACTTATTAAGAAGAAGCTATGATCTTTTTTCTTGACATATTATGATACATATTTCATACCAATAAAGAGCTTGTTTTTGTCCCTTATAGCCTTCAACACACTGATATGATTCATAATCTCAAGGGAAATAAAGTCCAGCTTATCAAAGAAATGACTACTATAAAATTTGCTCCCAGAAAAATTTTAGGTCAACAGTTTTCTAAACTGTCTTTTATGTGTTCTACCAATTAATTTCTTATTAAATACAATATTATTTTCCTTTCCAGGAGAAATTTCAGCCTTTCTCATTATAACTATTCCCAGTACGGCCTTGCACTGCTTTTGTGGAAAGATTTAAAGTTATCATTTGATATTAGCCATGTTTGTGCAATGTGCTCTTTCCCAGCTGATAGTGCATTATTTATGAAGCATGTTCTACCTGATCCACCTTTTGAAGGTCAATGCCTTCTTCCCTTAGGTATTAGCAGATGAAATGAGTCTAACACCGATTTTTGTGGGTTTTGGATATGCATCGTTGGCTCTCTAGTTCTTGTAGGTAAAATAAAGTAGCCCCATGGCATTTTTTAGGCTGTAGGGGCAGTGGGTTGTTAGTCCACCGTGTCCAGGACAGAGTGTTGGTAAGCAGAGCCAAATTGTCTCTTGTCACTACCTTTTACCTCCCCAACCAAAGTTAGGTACCCATTTTACACCTGGATAGAGTAAAAAAAGTCCTCTAAAGTGTCTTTCCCAAGGACACAACATCTAACAAGGAATGTAAGGGATCGAACCTGCAATTTTTTGACCCTGTGTCCACTAGCTGTAACACTCAATGCCATTCAATGCCATTCAATGCCACCTGGTTGGTAAGAGATACCGGTACATAGATTTCATGAATTGCTTTCTTATATTCTTTCTACCACTTCTCATGCACTCCTGGCTATACCCGAGACCTGTTTTGGTAATGATGCCCACTGTGGTAGTATGTGAATTGACACTCTCCTTGGTGCTGAAAAGTTAGCTGTTGTGCACTTTGGACTTCCTTTAAGTCTTCTAGCTGAAGAAGGCTTTAGAGAAGCATTATTACCTGGCTGATGGCCATATTTTCTAATGTTACCAGTTTTGGTCTTAAACTGTAAAGAGGGGCACATGCAAATGCCAAATACAACATAGTATAACATAGTACTCAGTCCTGAAAATACCTCTAGGCATATCAGGTTTGATATAGTAGTAAAGTAGTAAAACTGTTTACCTTGAAGCAAGTGTTTTTTGCATTCCTTGTATATTATTGGAAATGCTAGGTGCAAGATATGTCTAAACTCCCATAAAATTTAGTTGGTATTCATGACGCAAAATATGAATCTAATTTTGTATCAATCTGATCAAAACATGTATGAAGTTGTGTTGTGCCAAACATTCAGTTTCAGAAAATATAAAACCTGCCTGAGCCTGTGCCCAGAAGTGGAGGTGCTAGCCACTAGAACACAAATACTTAACGCCCTGGGCACACACAGTCAGCATGTATATACAGCTTCTGTAAAAAGTTTTCTGACAGTAGATGTATGTATATAGTGCATACAGATTCTTCAATGTCAACCATCATCTTTCACACTGCAGTCACCCCTAATGGTATGGTCACATTACCCAACTGGGGGCCCTTTTGGGCAGTCTTGTGGAATGAAAAGTAGGATATAAGAGACAACAAACACTACACCAATTTGATTTGTTGGTTCTAAGATTTTTTTTCAGAAAAAAATATGAAGCGACAGGGCAAAAAATTAAAACAGACCTAGGCATCTTATGATAACCCCAAATGCAATTACAGGAGCCATGAAGTCAACATACCAGGCTGGTTTGCAATTCAAACAATTTCAAACTTGTAACCAAACAACTGCATTGATAGACGGAAAAACTGTTACAGTAACAACTCTAAAGAGAAGGGACTTGCTGGGGCAAAAATACGAGCATTTTGGAGTTGATTCAGAGGCTGAAATGTTTTTTTTTTGGCAAATCAGAGAAAAAGTAAGCAGGTAAATCTGTAAACCAACAAATTAAATTGGTGAGGCCTTAGGTGTTTGAGTTTCCAGTTCAAACCGCCCTGGTCATCAGATACCCTATGGGTCGTTTTGTCCTCACACTAACGATTTTGCGCCAACTAATTACAGATAAGATCTTTCCAACATGTCTGTCATTTTCCCCACGTACGATAAGCAGGTAATTTACACATCTAAAGGTCGGCTTGAAGAATGGATCAAAGTGAGTTGTTGACAGTTTGGGGTCACGAAAGTTTAGCCCAAAGGCAAACAGACAGACTATTGCAGATGGCAAATTGTACAAGTGAAGAATTACTTTCATCCCTAAGAAATCCTTTTGAAGCTCTCCTGGTCTATCAGGGTACTAAGATCTAGACACAAGATCTGGTTTCTAAGACATTTTTGGATGATGTTAGTGTGCTACTGTGACCTACATATATTCATACTTTGTCTCTCGTATAAACTGGGGCTGTGGGACAAATGTCAACAACTTGTTGAAGTTAAAAGCTTCAGAAATGTTTGGGAAATGCAAAATTATGGTTATTCATTTCTAAACTGTTGTGGAATTTATGTAAAATCTACATTGTTTATAATCTTATACAAAACATGCTTTTACATGTACATAGTAGAATGTGATGATTGCCATATTAAAAAGACTGCTTTAAGAATAGCTTATTGAAAAAAAGTCAGACTTGTGAATAGTCAAATGTAGTCCCATTGCCTTTCTGAGGTTGTGTTTAGGACATTGTACTGGAAGGCAAAGCCCCTCCTTCTCCTTCTACCAAATTTTTACACCCCAAACAAAGTCAGGTACCCATTTGGTTACACCTGGTTGGAATGAGGAAAATTGTGCATAGTCGTATTGCCTTTACTGCCTTTATGTTAAGTCAAGAATGCCATTCATTAAACACTCGAATGCTCATGTCTGCTAGCCTAGCCACTTGACACCACATGTAAATAATTGTACCGTCTAATGTCATTCTTCATAATACAATGTACCTTCATTGCTTCTTTACTAGTAGATATACAAGGTGAACACTGGATGCACCTTGACAGCTACTATTGCTGCAAACTGTGTATGTTTATTGAGACAGACAGCAAACAACTGCTACAGACAGGCGTGAAGAATTAGTGCGAATACTGATAGCTTCCAAAAAAAGTTGGATCTTCTTAGAGTTGCCTTACTAAGTCCGTGATTGACAATGCCATTAGAAACCTTTAACACTACCGCTAGTACCCAACGACTGATAAATTGAAAAGTATGGCAGTTACAATTTTTCTTCCACGCTTTGGGAAAATGCTGGAGCAGCGTTAGGGCCAAGTGTCGCATCTGTCATCCTTAGAAGTGAAAAACAAGACTTTAGATCTCAATAGTGGCTAAGTGGTTACTTTTTCAAGATGTCGGCTACAGTGGCTAGGTTTTTGCAAAGGTGTGACAAGTTTACTTGTCTAATAGACATAGATGGAACAGGATACAGTTGTGTGTTACATACCGCGTTACTTCTTTCATCTTTGTTCACAAAGGGAAGACAAATGCGAACACTTTGTTTTAATTTCTAAGAAGATGGGATGGTAAAGTACACATAAGTCAAGATGGATGTTGTAGAAACTTTACTGTAAGAAGTTACATGGTTGAAAGGGTGATGGGTATTCATTAGGGATACATTAGGGATGCTGTTTGAATAACTGTGGCTTTTGGAGCAAAGGGTGCTTATACATGTAGCAGTAAGTCACTCTAGATTGAAATGACTTCTAAAACTGGTCGAATGGTGATTTGCTTAACGTGTAGCCTAATTAATAATCCTTGTGGCTCTCTGGTTGATTTTCTCCCAGAGACTTTACTGAATACAACATCAAAACTTTATCTTGAAAGTTCATCTGTGTTGGTAGAAATCATTAGGAAGCAAGTTTAAACTGTAATTTCCAACACAAGAAATTGGGCTCACCCTAAATTTTTGACTGTACAGCTCCAGTCTTTGTCAAGGATTGAGCAATCCAATGCTTCCTAGACATCATGCAGATAACTCACGTGACTCCATAAGCATTATGAAAATTTGGGTGAGTTCAATTTCTTGCGTTGGAAATTACAGTTTAAACTTGCTTCATATTCAAAACTTTATTATGTAGAATTTTCTAATATAAATTCCTGTTTAAGCAATATAGAAAGTTGCTTGAAAGTTCAGTTTAAATTTTCGCTACATAAAGTGTGTCATTTGAAGTATTCTTAAAGATATTTCTATTGCATGGCTTATCATTGAATTGAAAAAAACATTATGACAGGAACACTCAGAATTTTATGTCAATGTCAGAAATCACCATAATTATGATATTAGACAGTTGACAGTTATTTCTCTTTTCTGTGTAGGTTCCGACTTGAAGGATTTTTTGCCAAAGGAGCATTTCTTTACCAAACTTGACCAAGACATTGGAGAAAAACAGTAAAGGAAGCCATCCAAAATCCCAGAGTTTTTCCTCACCCATGTTTCTGACTGTCCCGGCTTTTATTCATGTCCATCCGCCGAACATTATCCAAGATCTCCCGTAGAGTCATGTCATCTGACTCGGACCACAAGTCCGCTACTCTGGAGGCCGACCCGCTGGCCACGCAACCACAGAAGGCGTGGGACCAGAGGAAGGTCGTGCAGACCGCAGCGAAGGTCGAACCGGTCCCCTTCGACAAAGAGAAACCACCAGGACATGTACGGTTTGTTTGCGTGTCGGACACCCACTCCAGGAGCGACAGAATGGGAGCGATTCCGGACGGGGATGTCTTGCTCCACGCGGGGGATTTCACCGACCTTGGACACTTGCAGAAGGTCAAGGACTTCAACACTTGGTTAGGTGGGTGCATTTTGCTTTGTTTCTTTGCCAGGTTATACAGAGATTTGTTTTTGACTGCTATATGATGTCTGTGTGTGTTTCTTTACACATCTCTACATGCTATGCACATGGGAGGCAATGACACTTTAGGTTAAAGGTCCCAGAAAAGGTTATCTGATTTCCTGTCTTCAATTTCCTGTTACCGTTATATGCAATGTCTGTTGCCTTGTGGGAGCAAGTGGGAGAATAAGACAGAATCAGTAAGAAATTCACCATAATCATGAATAGGACATAGTACAAGAAATTCAAAATTACTTTGAATAAATATTTCATGGAGGTACAAATGTATGAGATCTATGATATCATGTTTTTTAAGTGGGTGAGCCTTATGTAGTATAAGAGTTTATATATACCCGTACATGTACATAGTCAAACTTGCTCTAATGTTCCTTTTGATTTAAAGTTATATGCCCCCAAACCCTAAGCTTATAACTGAAAGAAATGTGCATGTACAGGCATTGGACCACAACTTTGACCCCTAACTGACACCCAGATGGCCATTTGAAGTCTGACTACTTATTTTACCAGTCTAAAAGCACAGCCACTGATACATGTACTCAACAGCTTCAAGGAAAAGTAGTTTTAGATGGCAGCAGATGCAGCTAAGGGGTAATGATAGTCAGTCCTGTGAAAGAGGTTTTTGTCGTAAAAATTACATTTGCTGGTTAGAAGATAGGGTAATGTTATCTTTTGAAGTATAATTAGGTGATAGTAGTTTTTGTAACATGAAAGGTCTTTGAACTAAAACTCTGTGTGATGATACATGTATATAGGGGTTCAGAGCATGCTTTATAGGTATGGCTTTTAATGCTATGGGCCAGACAACATGTATGAACCCTATTTTGTTAGTCTGCCAAGGATGTGTTTTTGGGTCACATAATTCGTGCACAGAAAGAATAAACCGAGATAGCTTTGATGGCTTTATATGAATCACAGAATGATGGCTTTATGTGAATCACGGAATTTCTTCACAAGGATGTCTTTGTTCTATTCTACAACATGGTTAGGTTTTGAATCTCTATGAAAAGAGGGCAGTTTAATTCATCTGTAAACTGCAGAAGAAATAACTACAGATTCTGAAGAATTGTTAAGAAACATACTTGACATGAGAAATCAGAGATTTTAGACCTCCAGGAAGTATGCCATCAATCCTCAGCTAAGAATCCTGACAAACTCCCTCAAGTTGACTGATTCATTCTGCCTGACAATCCTCCCCCACCCATGTGCTGTCAACCTACTACCTACAAATATATACAAAAACCCACAGCTCAGAATAAGAATGCTTCCATACTCATTATGATGAATATAACTTCATGTTACGTAAACAAAAAATATAATTTTCAACAAAATATGCTTAAACTTCTTCTCATACTCCCCTTCCCACAATCTTGCCTCATCCCTTTAAGAACATTTCCTGGCCTATCCTTCCTGTTGACCTATAGTAACCCTTTTAGCGATGAAATGTGAGTTCATACTGAGTTTACAACACAATGCTGTCATACAAGAACTTGTGAGATTCCTTCTGAAGCTTCTTAGAGTTCTGAATACAGAACAAAAATGCTTTAGTTGACATAACCTTGCCCCCGTGTTGGGTGTAGCCGAATAGTCTGCCGTTTTGATCTGGAAAAGGCATCTGCCCTCCAATGTGAGAGTTTTTCCATCTGAGTTGACAGAATTCCGATAACACCGAAGCGAGGTCCTGACCTAAGAAGTAATTGACAGTATTTGGATGTAGTCTGTTACTTTGTGTCAATCTCAACACTTTTCTTTTTGCTCCTGCAGTTGAAATTCTAAGACTTGATAATGATTAAGAGTTTGCACTTCAATAGCCTTACCTATTTCACTATGCTACACTTGTACACTGCTCCGGGGTTCTCACCAGCTTTAGATTTTTATCTGTCTGGTTGGTTTGAGGAAGCAAAGCTCCATGTCGAGTGCCAAAGGCGCAAGGAATCAAAGGGGTTAGGGGGCATGTTCCCCCAGTAAATTTGAACTTTTTGACCCTCTGAAATCATGCTATGGTTTCCTAAATTTTGAGAGATAATGTCATATGGCAGCTTTATTGAAATATTGTGTTTTGCAGACAGCCTGGTGAAAATGTCATGAATTTTACATTTTTGTCCATCAATGAGGATGGAATTCTGGTAATTTTTGTTTGTTCTAAAGACACACCAATTTGGATAATAATTCATTCTCAGATTTGCAAACCTACATATTTTTCTGATATGCAACCAAAAAAAAATGCTCATTTTTGAGCCCCAACAGTACTGTTGAAGAAATTTCCTTGCCTTCTTAGTTGTTACAGTTTAACCATCTATTAATGCAGTGGTTCAATGATAAAAAGTTTAAAATTCAGACAGTCTGGTATGATGACGTCATGACTGACCTATCGTAGCTTTTGGGTTTATCAGAGGATGCCTAGGTCTGTTTTCATTTAAAACTTTTTTTTCCGCCCTGTCGCTTCATATTTTTTCTGAAAAAAAAATCTGAGAGCCAACAAATCAAATTCATTTGATGTGACCTAAGAAGCAAATTGTTGTTCCAAGACAGGAGCACGTATGCTGGAGAGAGCCATCGTATAACCTTTATCTGTTTACACAGTTGATTCATGATTCTGACCAGAAAATTGAAACTGATGCATTTTCGTCCTTCTCCGTAGTAGCATGAAATGAGAGGAGATGACCTTATAGATAACAGCTGTGCAATGAACTGTGGGGCTTTTAGATCTTTTAGAGAACGGAGGCCAGAAAAGCTTGATTTTATGGTTCACATCCTTTAGAGACATCAACCATGATTTGTACATGAATAGAAACTTTCCACTCATTCTACAAGGGAATGTTTTTAAAAAATTTTAGGAAGAGACGTCAGATGTCATTTTTTTCACTCTCGGATCAGTTTTGGGATTCTCAGAGGATGTCATCCATATCATCAATTCAATATGGCCTAATACCTGAGTGCCTACTTTAATACACCCACAAAGGGCACATCATAGCTACCTATCCATCCAGGATGTTCTAATGTTCAAATATTCATGATTCTTCCTCCACCTTAGGGCTTCTATAGCTCAATATCAAGCCCCCCTCCCCACGATATGGGAATATTCCAATGCAAGTTTGCGCAGAAGCCTATACTCAGTTTTCAAGAAAATTACTGTCGATTCAACTCACACACTGCTTAAAGCCATCAGATTACTTGACGGAAAGTATCCCATACAGTTTGTCCAAATGTAATTTTGAACGCTTTTCAGGGTGTCCTTTCTATAATGTAGTATGCATTCTACCCTAATGGCTTTCTCCAAGGTAGTACATGGGGAAGTTGTATTCAGGCTTGTACTAAAGAGATTGGCAAAAGGCATGGAAATCTTGCAATTGAGAGTCCCTTAAATTGTATAGAGATTATTTTCAAAGTCATGATGTCCTTGCTAAGATTTGCTTGGTCAGGAAAATTGGGAAGATCTAACTGAATCCGAGAGAAGAAATTGAAGATTGTGACTCAGAAAGCAATGACATGGTACAAATTAATTCTCTCACAGTCAAATGAACAGTTTCAATTCAATTTTCCAAAGTTTTGCTTAGTATACTGTTTTTAAGATACATGACTTAGATATGAATGATTAGTATCAGTAAATTAATGTTTCATGCCTACTTTCATACAAACTTAAAGTTACTCTAGGCCAATATTGATGATTATATCTTAGATTATCACTAAACAAATGTATTGGCAACATCACATACAATGAGTGCTCATATAGCAATACAGACTTTTGTGTTAGAATATTCTATTAGAGACTTTTGCATTAGAATTTCAAATTAGAGACTTTTGTATTAGAATTCTATATGCAACATTGGTGTTTTCCCCTAAGCATCTTTTGATGTCTGCAATGTATTGATCTTACCCATGGGTTGAAAAATGAAGGGCCTTGAAGTGTAATTTAGAACTGCAATGGATTCAGCACCAAGGAGAGGATCGATAGTTCTGACTGAGGCAATGTAAATCAGACATGGATGTCTGTAACCTTCCGTTACAGTGTTGCAAATTCGCTCAGGCCTAGGACAAAATGTGTTTCGTGTTTCAGTGCTGAAAAAAATTAGGGCCGGTAGGTAGGGATTATCTTAAGAGTTTTTTTTCTCTTTTTTTTATTAGACTCTAGTGATCCAACTGTCCATTGCAGGGGTCCACCAAAAAAACGAGGATAGGGTTGGCATTTTTTTCTAGGGTCGGTCGGGAAACAGGAAGCACAACATTTTTTTCCTAGACCTAAGGCCACACTGATCATCCATGCGTGCATTGATTTTTGCCTGTTCTCAAAAAAAAAAAAAAGATCAAGTCCACCGAGGCTCTGGCCTGGCTCTAGGCCTGGGTAGTCCAAGGTACTGGTAGTTAGCGACAATACAGAGTCAGGCGCCCAGGCTACCGAAGCTCCACGACTCAAGAACTCAGTACATTCGTACAGTGCTGATTCATAAATCCTGCAAAAAGCCGGCATGTCGTATACGTCGCTATGTACTGCCACAAATTCTCAATGCCACCTTTGTAGGTTTAGAAGCATTTTTATTTTTAAAAATTTGGCCAGAATTTTTTTTATTCGCCCATGCGCACTAGTTTTGGGGGGCTTCAGATCTAGAGGATGTCATCCAAAAAATTAACTCAGTGTGGCCTAATCAATTACACCCTGAGGTGGTGGCATGTCATTTCAACACTGTCTGGTGTTCACATGAATAACACATAAACCCATTTACACTGACCAATTGATTGGATGTGTCAACTATTAAAGTCGGCAGACTTTTTAAAGTCACGTTAGTGCAACAAAATGTTTTGTCAGTGTCACAAACTTTAATTGGGGCCATTTTATTTGTGAAACGGGAGGTTTGGACCTGAATTTTGCATGCAAATGACCAAGAGAGGTTTTGCAAAGCTTAGAAAAGCTTTCAGTTTAGTATACTTGGTGATGTTACTCTAAATGCTAAGAGTTATGTATGATATATTTATGACTGTTAATATCGATGCTGAAGTTAAAATATATAGGAAGGTAATGACTTTCACACACTGATTTCCCCTGACAATTTTTGCAATAAATTGTAAATTGCAGAATTTCAATTTTGTCTCTTTGGTATTTTATCACCACTAAAAGTTCTTGTCAAAACTGTTTTTCACATAATACCGTCAATACAATGTATGTGTCATGAAAGGTTGAGGCCCGTGGTTTTTGTTTTTATCACTGTGCCAAATTTTTATTTTCTTCTTCTTTGAGAAGAAAATTCAAAGAAGCAAGGAAAGGACTCTTCTTCTTCATGAAATAATAAGAATGAGTCTTAAGACTTATTTTGTGTTTTCTATTCATAATTGCATAGACAATATATCAAGAGCATCACACATACCACGTACAAGACCCTTGAACCATGTATACATGTACTGCATTTGTCAGAACCGGTTCTAACTACATTTATCAAAACCGGTTTTGGTCGGATGTGGCCGGATGTTGCCAGTTGTAGTGTTTTTGATGTAGTTTCATGTTGAAAAGCTTATGTAAAGTGAGTTGGTATTACTTAGACTTAGACTTAGGGGCTCCCGCGTCTCGTGACGCATGAGGCAGTCAAAGCAGCCCAGCTTCCTCTGTCAGCAGCCAGCCTCAAGGCTTCCTTCCAGCTCATGCTGACTGCCTGAAGGTCCCTCTCCACTGTCTGTCGCCAGTTCATCCTTGGGCGCCCCCTTCTTCTCCGTCCTGCAATTGGTATTGCACTATTAGAAATGTATTAAAGACCCATAAGGTGGAACTCATTGCAACCAAGTACAGTAGGGGCATCATCACTAAATAACATAATGATTAAACAATGCTTGTAGTTACCGGGTAGATGTCTAAAGGTTAGGACTTGATGTATACGGCCTGTCAGAGTAATATAACAGGCTGATGCCTGCAGATACAGGTACAGACACCTAGTATCAATCATAATGTAAGCTACCAGGTATATAATCGTATATGTAAGTTTAAGATGAGCCATTAGTGGGGTTACAAGAAGGTTATAATAGCCTATTATTGGAAAAGGTAGATCCTTGCTGAGGGTCAGTTGTCTTAACCTGGCTGAAAATCATTTGAAAACCAACTGTAATGTTATAGCAAATGTCAGTTCATCATTTAACCTCTAACCTGAAGAGCACCCCTTGGTGAGGTTATGTGAAGGTTATGGCCTATTAATAATGGAAAGAGTAGATTTTTGTAGAGGGTCAGTTATCTTAACCTGTTTTAAATCATTCGAAAAGCAACTGAACTGTCATGTAGTGTTACCAGTATATCGAAATGCTACAGAAAAGGAAAAGATGCATGGGTGATCTTGATCCAAATGTTGAAAGTAGACTACTATGTAGTATGTTTTATAAAATATCATTGTATATTCTTTTTAAGTGCTAAATGGTTCCAAAAGCAGCTAGACTATTTGTGAAGAAAAATAGCCAGATCCCTTGCACTTTTCCTCAGCAAAATAGGCCCCCCAACTTAAGCCCCATCTTGCATGTGTAAATGAAAGTTGTTACAGTATAGCCTATCTCCAAGTCTTCAAATGGAGATTGCGTCTCATCGTATTGGACTGACGGGCAGTGTCCTCGCTGAGGGAATTGTATTGGGTGTCGTTCAGGCAATATCTTCTCCAATTTTGCCAACGTTTACAAGTTTGCAATGGCACCCCAAGAGCTTAATGTGATAGCTAAATTGCATGTTTTCCTGCTCTTCTAGGACAAATTAGGGCTATTTGCTGTTTTCAGAATTTTTGCCTATGTATCAAGAGCTGTTTTAGAAAAACACTTAGGATTAAGAAGGCATAAAATGTACATATTGTAATGTAATATCAGAACATACATCAAGTAACTTGCAACCAATCCATAATTTTGTTTAATTAAAACATAATTATTATGGAATTTGAATTGCTACCTTAGCTGCCTGAAGGTTTTAAACAGGCTAACTATTAAATTACTGTGACAACTATGTTTTGATAAGTATTGTTTACTGCATCTGGTATAATTATCTGGATTTCATCAACCAAAATCTGTCTATTTACTAGCTAAAATGAGCTTTGGGTCGAATTATTATAAGCTTCCCACACACAGCTTATGTATCAAATATTACTTTATTATAGGGAATAAATATTACTTTATTATAAGGAATAAGTTTGGGATTAATATGGCTTATAGTAAGTTATATGCCTGGGTTTAAGTCTAAGTAAGTTTGTTTTATGGTGATTTACATGTATGAAATCGAGGCAGATTTATATTGTATCATCTAATAAAAATGTTACAACTGAGTTGAGTTGTTGTAGGTATTAATATTAAATAACCTAATTCAAATTATTCATTCTTGTTATGCATACTATAGATGTATTCCGTATATTATATATCTTTCATAGACTTCATCTATATATCTTTTCAATAACAGTGTCAGCCTGCATTGAGGAAGGCTAAACAGCAGCCATGATGATGATGATGATGATGATATTCTTATCCCCTTCCCTACAGGAACACTTCCCCATCCTTATAAGGTCGTCATTGCTGGCAACCACGATCTGACCTTCGACCCCAAACTGATGCAAGAGATCCGGGCGGGAAATCGCCCCATGTTCTGGGCGGTTCGCGACGAAGAAGCAGAAACGGCGAAGTCGCTTCTCACCAACTGCATCTACCTGGAGGATTCTGAAACCAACGTCATGGGGATCAGGATTTGGGGGTCACCGTGGTAAGTTTTATAGTAAAATGCTGCACTTTATTCCAACACAACCAGTACAGAGAGATCATTTTCAACGACTACTGTCGCCTTCCTCAGGATAATTAACGACCAAGCAATTTTGAACGTAAACTCACGAAAGTTACGGTTACAGACACGTGACCTTATTCACATGAGACTTTATGGATGTGTGAGGTCAGCAATTGATCAAAAGTGTTTACAGTGTTTACAATGTATATCATCCACCATCTCTATTAAGTGTTTAGGGGATTAAGTTATTAGAATAACCAACCACTTTTTGGACCGTACCATTATACAGGATTGCTCACATGGTTGTTTATTCGGTGCTTATCGCACCTGTCCAGGGATTATCTCACCATATACACCTTGAGACAGGGCTTTAACCCTTTATTGATCATGGGAGACAGACTATTGAGCAAGAAAAGCTACAAACTGTAAGCTAGTTTAGCGTTTGACAAAGATGGATGATGACATGCGATTCAATCATGTTCAAGGCCAATGGTATAAACCAGGGAGCCCAGTTTCCTCCCCCTACACCCAAGCCAGACTCCCATGATGCTGTGGTTATTATTCTCTACAAGGCCCAGTAGTGGATAGTGTGTTCAAACTTCATAGAAATTACTTTATTCATCATAATACGATGGATTTCCATTTTCATGCACATTCGCTCAAGGTTAACAGAAAACTGTGTTTAGAAAGAAATTTACATGTAGATTCAAGAAACCTGACAGCAAAATCTATTACAGGAAGGACAGGGTGGCAAAAGTTTAATTCATTCTCTGTGTGTGATATGGGCAAGCTTTAAGAAATTTTGTTTTAAGTAATTTAACAGTAACTATGGACTAGCTAGTGTTGAGCTTTTTTTCTGTATTTTACTGTACTGGCCATTATCAGAGCTGCGTGTTTGACAGTATTGACCTTGAAAACTTGTCCGGTGCAGGTAGTTGCTTCCACCAGTGCAGCAATGCAGAAAACTTAAATTTCGAGCCCTGCTGCAATTGTGTTGAAAACATTATGCATGTGTTTGAAACATTATGCTGTTGACTTTTCCAGGCAGCCTTGGTTCTATGACTGGGCGTTTAATGAGGAGAGAGGAAAGCCCATCCTGAACAAGTGGAACCTCATCCCAGAGGGGGTCGACATTCTGGTGACGCACGGACCTCCACTGGGTACGTGTCTTTACTGGTATCTAGTAGAAAAATACTCCCTTTCCACAATCTAGAGGCTCAGGCCACAGCAATTTAATTTGTTGGTTCTCGGATTCATCTCTTTGTTTTTTTTCTAATTTAAAAAAAAAATTCTGGTTCAGTCTGAATAAACTCAAAAATGCTCATATTTTACCCCCAACAGTAAAGGAAAGTCCTTTTCTTCCTAGTTGTTACAACCTTTCCATCTATCAATGCAGTGGCTTGATTAAAAGTTCAAAATTCATTGTTTATTATGAATAATATTGACCCAACTTTTTGTGTTGACTTCATGGCTCCTATCATAGCATTTGGGGCTATAATGGGATGCCTACATGTGTTTTTTTCCCTGTTGCTTCAACCAACAAATCAAATTGGTGTGGCCTTAATAGGGCCTTATTATGATGATCTCCACAAACATTTAACTGCCAGATTACATGTATCCAACACTTTGAAAAACAGCATGTTCGAGAGGATATCTGGTGAATCACGCCAGGTATGCACAGTTTAGATAAGCTTAGAGTGCATTATACCTGCAGGGGGGCCTTGTACTGTGTTGGAGATCTATTTAGATGCACTTTTTCAGGGTGGCGGATACAGCTGTACATGTATGTGATCTGGCAGAATTATGTTTAACTTTAAAAGTTAGTAGATGTTAACATTCTTTAAGTAAGCTGCCTGGATATGGTTGGGTTCAGTCTGACGCAGAGTGAGAAAGTCATTAATCACTTCTTCTACATCTGGTAATGCTCGTTGTTTTTACAGGTGTTTTTCATTACATGACCTCCTTGACAGCTGAACTTTTTCCCTTTCACAATAAAGAAAGGGATTGCAAAAGGAGATTGCAAACGGTGTACATTGCACCTGTTGTTGTGTAGGCAAATGGAGCCCTTTTTTCATGATTTTCAACCCCTCCTAAAACATTGTGACCTGTGAACACCATGGTTTCGTGGAGGTCTGAGGTTGATAAGTGTGGTGGCATCTTTAATGTGCTCGAGTTGTAGCTGTGTTCACACACAAGACTTAACTGTGTGTTATTTAGACTCCACATCTACTTTTCAAGAGGACACCCCTGGTAGGAAACCAAGCTTTTGTTCTGCACATTTACTGTATATGCACAATCATATGAATGTAATACTAAGTTACATCAAATTGGGCAGAATATGGTATATATAACAGCAGGAGTTATGATGCATTACTTCTCTCAGCATCGTAACAAGGCTTGCACACTCCAATAAATTGCTTTCTTGATTTGTGTGACGTCTTTTCCTTCTGCTGATGACAAAGTCTCCGCTGAGCACAGACTGTATCTGCTCAAAAGGTCACTAAGTATTTACCGTCTGCCGCAAACAAATTACACAGAGCTGCATTTGCTGAAGTTGTGATCATGAATATGTACATGCATTGCCAGGAGGACAGGTTGTGTTGTGGTTAGGGTTGTTGGAATCCAAAGGTTCTGGGTTCGAATCCCTGCATGGCAGGCCGCATTGTCCCTGAGACTTTGCACTTTTGATATTTTCTCACTTTACTCAGGTGTAAATGAGTACCTACATTGTATAGCTTCATTTAGGGTCATCCTCTTGGATAGAATGTATAAGGCCAGCGAACTTTCTTTGACTAGGGTTGGTTTCCAAAATATGAGCATTTGGGGGTTGCTTCAGAACCTAAATAGTACGTGACTGTACTTTTTTTAAATTAGAAAAAAAGGAAGGAGCAAATGCGAGAACAAAAAAAGTTGATTGATGTAAAAAGATTGATGTATCCCTAATGCTGAAAATTTCATCAAAGACAATCATCCACAGGCTTTTTGTACATGATTATGATTGAATGCATAGTTAGTCTTCCATGTAACAAACTTGTGTCAAATCACAGCTACACTGTATACTCATCAGAAGAGGCTTACACTCAAGATCAAGAATTACTCTCAAATCAGTACCAGTAATCCTGCTTCCAAGATCATTAGACTGTAATGAAAGGTTCTTCTCAGTAACCTGTCATTCATCTGTCATTCGTCTGTGTTGACTTAAGTGAGTCGTGAAGAATTGTCTATCAAGAGTTTACCTTCAAGTCTCCAGAGAAATGGTAATGAACTGACTTTTGCGGACCTGTAATCTGATTAAATATTAGCTTCCAAACTCAAAAGTTGAAGTCAAAAGTCACAATCGTGCAACAATATTGGGAGATTTAATAAGACTAGTTCTTTATGACATTGTGAATTTTACTTAGTGCCAACCTCTTGCAAATTTTACAATTCCAAGTGAAAAATATAAAGTTTTCACCTTCAAAAAGTACAATGTACAAAAAGTAAATATAACCTCCTTTCTTGGTTGATGTACTTAGTTCACACCAATGCCAGAGAGTCTACTCTATCTGGTCCTTAGAGTATACTGAGTTAAAAGCCATTCCAAAATACTTTGCATCAGTAATTCCCAAGGGATATTCACATGATTAAGACAGCCTTGAGAAGTCCTTGATAACGCATTATTATCTTATGTAAGATGCTAGGGTACCCAGTGGAATTAAGAATATTCTTGTACATTAAATCCATGATAATGACTTGTCAAACCTTAAGGATTGTGTGAGTGAGTGAGTGAGTGAGTGAGTGAGTGAGTGAGTGAGTGAGTGAGTGAGTGAGTGAGTGTGTGTGTGTGTGAGTGAGTGAGTGAGTGAGTGAGTGAGTGAGTGAGTGAGTGAGTGAGTGAGTGAGTGAGTGAGTGAGTGAGTGAGTGAGTGATTGAGTGTCCATGTTTATGTAATACTGGGGTACATAAAGTAATTCCAGAAAATTTGTTTCTTCATTTCATACACATTTGTCTACAAAGCTATATAAATCTTCATGGAGACTTTTAAAAGACGCAAATACAATGTACATGACAGATCAAAATACAAATATTTGAATCTGTATTCTTTTCCACATACCAGCAAGACAGTTATGTTATAGCCTTGCTTAATCTTGAAACAGTCTTAATGCCCACTCTACTAATAGCCTACACATTAAACTCAGTGATTTGAAGGAACAAAGTTCTGTTTTGATTATCACCGAAGGGAAATTTATTTACTTTTTAAAGCACTTACGTCACTCCTCTAAGTCTTTATGTCTCAGCATCAATGTTTTCTAAATCTCTAAAATCCTATTCCATCATGTTTTCTGCCTCATGTGTCTATAACACGAGATTCTTAAGCTTTCAGTGGATTATTCTACCATTAAGTGGATGTAGTTTTCCAATCCTTATAACCTTGATATGTCGTCAGTGGCATGTATAAATAGGAAACTTCTAATGAGCTGAAATCTAATGGGAGCTTTTGTAAGCAATGTACATGTAGTTTCTGGCCAAGTGCAGTTTTAGGGCTTGAAAACCAGATTTTTCAAAGTCAATATAATCTAGTCACTAACATATCTACTGTCATACAAAGTTTGAACAACACTATCCCAATATATATATTGATGTTCATGGAGCAAAAATAATGAAAATGGTGACGGAAAATGGTTACTGTATGTATCGTGTTGTATTGTACTTTATGTTTGCAGGCTGAGAAAAATGGACATGTTCGCAGAACTATACGGTCACAGTGGCGGCAGGTGCAGAAAAAAATAAAATAGGCGAATTATTTGTTCACGATTATGATAAGTTTGAGGTACAGATTTAAGTGACCGCGAAAACCGTGAACAGAAACTTTTAAGTACCAAAAGAAAATTGTGATTTACAGTATTGGTAGGATCCTGGGCTGATTTTTGGGGTACCTGCTAGAAAATAAAGGACTCATCTCATGGCAGTACCTGTGTGTCTATTCAGAATATTCCATATTGCCTTAATCAGAATATTTCCAATGTTGCCACCCTGAAGTTGCATTGGAATTGCTTTTAAGTTTGTATTCTGCTGAGGAAGGATCCATAAACTTCAGGGCTTTGATGGGAAATTAAACAGCTCCCTTGGCTAGAAATTGAGACATTTTTTATTTGATTATTGCCTGGGATGATTAGGCTGTAGGGAGTAGTGTGATTAGGTTATTAAAGGCCCGGCAATGTCCTAATTTATTTTACAACAAGTCCAGGAAAATTGCTTCTATAGGGAGGAGGGAGATGCGTCAAGGGATTAAGTTGTCTTCTTGTAGATTAGCTAGGATGTAATATGTGGTGTCATTGGCCTACTGATTAGGCTAGCGGGATTTAGAGGTCACAGGTTCGAATCTTGGCTGCACTGGGTCTGACGTTGTGTCTTTGGGAAATTAAGACACTTAACATGACTTTCCTCACTCCACTCAGGTGTAAATGGGTACCTGACTTTGACGGGCTGATTTAAAAATTCTGAAGTGGAACTATGCGGCTAAAATATCTTACTGAAGGATTACTGTGATATGAAAGATGTCAGTTTTAGTTAGCTTGAGGAATGATCATTCCACTCTACTTGATACTGGGTACCTGACTTTGACTTTATAAGTATTAGAGGCAGTGGGTTATTAGGAGAGGGATAGACTCTGCTCTCTAATACTGTACCTAAGAAATGGGAGAGCTCTGATTGGCTCTGAGTCAAATGGTTCTTGTAAAGACATGGCAACAGCACGTCGGCAGAACGTACTGCGCCTGCGCAGAACCCCGTATTTTCGCGTTTTTCGTTGGGTTTTTGGTCAATGTTGCATCAGAATTTTGCCTGAGGATATTCTTTCCGACACACCATTTGGAAACTACTGTCGAAATGCTAACCTTATATGAGCGAATACAACCTTATATGAGACATTCTGCCGAAATGCTATGTACAATACATTACGGGTTTTGCGCAGGTGCAGTACGTTCTGCCGACGTGCTCATGGTAACAGGGTTTGAACACACATTCAGAAGCTCAACGCCCGTCACACATCTTCGGAGAAATACTTGATTCCTGAAATAAAACAGCAAGTAAAGACCAAATGTCTGGATGGGGCATGTGAACGGCATCCAGACAGTTCTGTATGGAAGCAATTGTTGGAACAATTCAGAGGTAGAGTACCGTAAATTCCAGGCCATATCTCATCGGCCCTGGCACTTGAAGGCTTAAATGGCTACGTTTATAGCTTAGGGGTCTAACTTTACATTGCTCCACGGATCACTTTAAAGTCAAAGTCTCATACACTGGGGTGCCTAAAGGATACTCAAGCTGAATGACATTTTGTTAGACTTTCACAAGGGATGAACTAAGAAAGTCATTCTAAGAGTCGATCTTTCCGGCACTTGGGATTTGGCACTCCCAGCCCCGAGGACAGACAACACTTAAGCTCCTGTTCTGTATAACAGGAGCTTTCAGACTAATTTGCATCATTTTGTCTTGAGTTGTCTGACTGTACCAGTGTCTGACTGTACCAGTGGCCACCTCTGCATAAGGACCACCTCAGGCTGTTTGGCCACGTTTTGGTGGTGTAAGTTTTTTTCCACTTAAACAAAGCATGAAGAACCATGATACCTACCCATATGCCAAATAACATAAAGATCCATCCACAACTTGTCGATTTATGCTGTCCAGAAGCAAAGAAAAAAGCAGCCAACCCACAAACCAATCTACCTTCATACAAAACGGCACCAAAAACTTTTTCTTGGCAAAGGTAGTTACCACATTTTATGACAGTTATGCCAAATATAATCCATATCTACATGTATCCATAACTTCTGAAGTTATACTGTCCAAGAATAATCAAATAAAATATCACCAAAATGGTAATCTTTATAAAGATAATAATTATGGCACCTGTAATATTATTAATACCACATTTTTCATAGCTTTGGGAAAATAACAGCGCTGAGATAGAATTCAGCCAGTTTTGACTGACTTGGTCTTTCTCAAGAACTACATGTAGTACTACATTTCTTAATGGTTGTGTTGAGAAGTTTTGAGAGTATTTTTTTGGCTTTGCTCAGGAGCAGTCATGTGAGGCAGGGACAAGCTGTCCTTGGGTTGTTGTTATTGAGGCTTGAGATTACCATCGGTGTGCATCAGCCCTGCACTAATGGCCGGGATAACCCATAGGTCATTTGGCTCCAGGCTGATTGAGTGTTTACGAGTCTTATAAATCAGCGCTGGAGCAACCTTTGGGGCCTTGTGTACGTGTCATCTCATCAAGACCACGTCAAGTTCATTTATCGTTTCTCGAATCACGGCTGCTTGAATTTTTCTGTTTATATTTCAATCATACCATGGTATGGCTGAAATATATCGTTTTTCCTGATGTTTATCTTCTTCTCCATCTCTTGTCATTTCTTTAAATGGATTAAATTTCTTCATTTTTGGGCAAAATGAACTGAAATTTGGTTTGTCAGTAGAGTGAGCAACTACCCTCAAGCATTTTTTTCTTTCATTCTCTTGATACAGGCTTTATTAGCTGTTTTCTTAGAGAAATGTACTTTAGAATACAAATCAATACCAAAGTGATACTTTGGCACTAGCAGTTGAATAAAGTTCTTTGTACACTTTTTTTATTCCAACAATGTCTTAAAAGTTGAAAATTCATGGAATAGAAAGGTAAGTTGACTTCTATGGTGACCTTTGGGTCAGCATCATTTCAAACATTTTTACCTGCTACACAATTTTCCTGTAAGAATCCGAGAACAAGGAAATTGAATTGACTTGGCCCAATCAGTGGTTGCAGCTTCATGTAAACCAAACTAGCACCTTAGGCCACAGCAATTTAATTTGTTGGTTCTCGGATTTTGTCAGAAAAAACATGAAGCGACAGGGCAAAAAAAAATAAAAATAAAAACAGGTTTAGGCATCCTATTATAGCCCCAAATGCTATGATAGGAGCCATGAAGTCAACCCAAAAGGTTGTGTTAATATTTAAACAATGAATTTTGAACTTTTAATCAAACCACTGCATTGATAGATGGAAACACTGCAACAGCTAGACATTGGGGGCAAATATGAGCATTTTTGAGTTGATTCAGAACCAGAATCTTTTTTTTTTTTTGCAAATCAGAAAAAAATGAAGAGGCGAATCCGAGAACCAACAAATTAAATTGGTGTGGCCTTAAGTCCAATTATATGTGTCGTAAAGTACATTTTCCAAGGGTGTGCAAAATATGGGAATACTTATTGTGTGACTAAAAGGGTTCAAATGAAAGATAGGCACTTCAACCTCAAAGTCAGTTCCGTTGCAAAAGGGCATGGCTTAGCTAGAGACGATCAGGAGTTTCCTGGAAAAATAAAAAAGTAATTTTCTTTGGAAAGCTTTTGGCTCAGCTGCCAAGTTAATCTTGTAGGGCATAACGTCTGGTATTAGTTGAAATAGTATTACAGAGATTAAAATGTAAATCTGTTTGCAAAAGCTTATGCGGAAAGTTGCTAATACTGTCACACACGCAGAATTTATCATAATTATCACTTTGATATAAGAAAGGATGACTGTACAATGATGTAATGTGTGTCCAAAACTGTTTAACTCAACTCTTTCATATTTGTTGATCATCTGGATTGTTTGTTCTGCAAAATTAAAGCTTCTTTCTAGAAGGCTAGCCGTGGCTTTACCGTAAATATGGTTATTTTCAACATAGAGGGAAATTTCTTTACAAGAATCTTCTTGTGTCCATCAAGTTGGACAGAGTTTTTGAAATTAGATTTCTTCACCCAAAGCAGCAAAATTCCATCCAGGGACGTTTTTAGACATGCACAGAGTCTGAGTGTCTGGTAAAAGTAACTTGAGTAATGCCCATGAGATTCTTTAAGATTAAGAATCAATTTTGTTTGCACAAGGGGCTATAACGTCTGTCTCCAAACTTTGAATAAATAATCCATGAAATTGACTGTCTGTGTAAGATTTCAACGAAGAAACTATTCTGGGCAGACTAGATAAAGCAAGAATTCAGAGATCTCAGACCTACATGAAATATTTAAATCTTGTGTAATGGTGACTGTGTCCTCACATTTTTTTTACCATGATGTCTACTACCATGAAGTCTTTTTTTATTGTACAAGGGAAACAACACCAGCTGTCAGTTGTCAAGGAGGTCATGTAATGGAAAACACCTTTAAAAACAGCGAGCGCTACCAGATGTAGAGTCAGACATAAGTAATGACTTTCTCCCTAGGAACAGACTGAACCCAACCATATCCATTACAACCTGACTTAAATGATCATGCAGAAAACACACACACACACACACACACACACACAAACATACCAAAAACAATACCTCCATTTTTCATGGAGGTAATGAATAATCCCAAGGGGAAACCATCTAAATTACTGCAGTAGGATCCGTATTTTCTGCCCCTTTGAGCTTTGAAACGGGCAATTAGCCAAACCCCTAGTGATGTAAAGCCTTGTTCGGGGTTGAAAATCTAACTCCAAACTCAGGTCCACCGCTAATTAATCTGATTCTCAAAGGACCTTAGCTGCGATGAAAGATTTTGAAACTCGTGACATTCAGAACACAAAGGTTAGGCCAGATTACTGAAGTTCAACGTTAGCGAGACCTTTCATTTTCTAACATGACACAGAAGTTCAAAGTCAAAAAGACCTCTCGTTTTCTAACATATCAGGTGCCATCTAATGAGATCACGGAGGGTATCGTAATTTGATAGGTTGTCAGATGTTGGGAATACAAAGTTGTAAAGGTTAACTTAAATGCTGGTATCCAAGTATCAAACAAGACTGTTCCTAAACCTAATTGGGAGTCCTTGAACATTGGATAACTTTGGAACCTGACCCCTTATATAAGCTACAGGACTTGAACTTGTTATTCTTCATACCGACTCGAGAGAAAAGTATAGAAGAAAGAAGACGGTTATGCAAGTTTTACAGGTGCCTGTCTTTTGTAAGGTTTTAAACCACCCTTGATCATTTGTCCAGGGCTCCACTGCAAAGCAGTGTTTAATCACTGAATGAGCTACCCTGGTTAAAGAAAAAAGAAATAGATAAACAATACTAGTAAATAAATCGCCTTAAAAGAATTGAAAGTAAACAAAACAACTATTTTGTATTCAGCACTAAGGACAGGGACATTGCATGTGGCATGTGGTGTCCCTGTTCTTAGTGCTGAATACAACATTGTTGTTAACTTTTACCTTCAATTCGAGATGCACTCTGTCTCTTCATCAACCAGGTAAAGTCAGATCTTGTCTTGGAGTTCTCTAGTCACCTGACTTGATGTTGATTCTGTCATCATATTCTGAATAAAGAGACTCTTTTTACACAACCAAGTCTTTTATTTAGCTGACGTTTCTGTGACCGTCTGTCACCTTCCTCAGGGCAATTCTGACTGGTTCACATTGCATTGCAGCACAGGTGTCTCTGCTACAGATGCATTCCCAAATGTACAATATTTATATTTATAATTATATTTATCTATATTTACATCTACACATATTCATGATTGGATTACAGGAAAATGTATCTACAATTCATTCCCAAACTTGCGGAATTTGGATATATAATGGTGGTCAGTTATTTAACAAGTTACAGAAAACTAGGAACAGAATCCACAAAGCAGTTCCAAATGTACAGAAGTCTTACCAACCTGATGAAACTATTCATGGATGTCATCATGTTCTGTTGACGTCCAGGTCATGGTGATGTCACCATCACGGGTCAGCATGTGGGGTGTGTGGATCTCCTCAACACCATCCAGAAAAGAGTCAAGCCAAAGTACCACATCTTTGGACACATACACGAAGGTGGGCTGTGCTTCTTCAGTAGTAAATTGTAGCCATTTGGCATTGTAAGGCCCCAGCAATTTAATTTCATAGCATTGCTGTGCAGTATTGCTTTGCAAGCCACAGTATGGCTATGCAAGCACGTCTAACCCTCGGAAATTAAGGAAAAACAGACTCTAAACCAGATAAATAGTGAGTGAGTGAGTGAGTGAGTGAGTGAGTGAGTGAGTGAGTGAGTGAGTGAGTGAGTGAGTGAGTGAGTGGGTGGGTGAGTGAGTGATCAGATTTGAAAAATTAAATTGCTCTAGTGGAAAGTTGACACAACAAAAAGGGGACTGTCAGTATCCTTACCTCTTCCCTTATGATTTCAATGAAAAGCAGCCAACAAGCAGATTTGAGCATCTCATGAATAAACAAAGGCTCAAACAAACAAACTTTGCTGCAACACAGTTCTGAGAAGTGAATATAGTCAGATTGAAACTTACCAGGTCATCAGAGCCTCCTATTTACTCTTGTTATAACTGCAGTATTTTCCTTCCTGCAGGTTATGGCATCACAACAGATGGAACTACAACATACGTCAACGCCTCAGTTTGTACAGTCCGTTACCAGCCTGTCAACCCACCAATCATATTCGATCTTCCAACACCCGAAGAAGCCATGAAACAGCTTGCAAAAGAACTTGACCTTGACTAAATAAAGAAAGAATGTAGCCAAATTTTATTGCACAATTGTGAAAACTAACATGTATGGAATGATTTTATCTGCAATTTTCTCTCTTTTTTAAGTTTTACAGTCATATGATAATTTATATAATATTCCTTCAATGTAATGTAGAAGGAAAGCTTGCAAGGAAAATTGATATTATTTTGTACAAAGCAGATTACATATCAAATTTTAGACACCAAGGGTTTTTTGCACAATAAGACATGTAACAACTATATTGCATGGACTTAATGTTTGTCTACAAATATTTGATGATATTCTATGAAATGATTTACTGCATGACTCACTTTGTTCATGGCTGATACTATGAAATAGTGAGACTAAATTAGGGTATCAAAATGTTTTTTTGTGTGTGTAATGTTAATGGTTTTTTGTCTGTAACGTTAAGGATCTTCTCAATTTATCGAAATATGCAGCTGATTTGTAGATGACAAGGATTGCAAGTGTCATCCAGTAATTTTAATATCATTCATCATAAGTAATACCTTCCTTTTTAAAGCCGTATGTCATGACAGTATGTATATTATTAAAAGGAGAAACTGGAGTACGTAGGATTATTGTAATTTAAGATTTTTTCCATTTGAATCTTCTCACTATGACCAATTGGTAATTTTATCCTTGACAAGTTATTAATCTAATACACAGAATATGCAACAATCCAACATCATCTTACAGTAAGGAATACTTTGGTGGGGTCATAAGCAAGAAAAATGGTTTCAGAGATTCAAATTTCTACAATGTGAATTGATGTAGTAAAATAGGCAAAGCAAAATAAGAATTTTGCATCATCTCTTGTCCTGAAAAAAAGCAGCACTGTTAATTCATTTATAGTCTCATCAGAAGGGAAAAGGAGGTTTTCATGATGTTAAAAAAAGTTTGCAGTTGAAAAAGGGACATTGGAGAGGCAAATTCTTGCTGTCACTGATTTTGAAGTGGAAAGGTCACCACGTACGAAAACCATGAAAATGAAACCATTGCAAACAGTTCAATATTTGTAGTATATGTCAAAATAAGTCACAAAATGTTATGATCAACTGGTCTTGATCAGGAGATACTTCAAGATACAAGACCTCACAGAAGTTATCAAAAAAGATTTCAGAAAACAAGAAATATAAACAAGACGTCAATGGCTCAGTTCAGCAATGCTCATGCAAGGACGTTTTTGTGTTATGGAGACTTTGTAAGTACTGTACACCACTGGTACCTATTTTAATAGGTACTTAAAGTACATAGCCTCCACTCATTGCTTAGAGGTGTCTTAGACATGTATAAAGATTTGTCTTATCAAGGAGGTTCCATGTCATTCGTCTTATGTATTGATAGATGATTAATTGAATACTGAATTGTAATATCATTCTGTGCTCTATTGTTTGCCACAATGCTTTTGTTATAATATAACAGTGGATTTTGTTGTAACTTTGACAAATTTTGCAATAATGTTGCATGGAATAATGTTCTGTTGTATCAATGAAAGTGAGTTTGAGTCAATTTGAACAATCACAAAAGAGATCAAAGTTTGTTTTGAGTGGTTTAAAACTTGTTTACTTCTAAAGGGCTTTTTACAGATGATACAGAAAAGGGAATTTGTTTGGATATTTTCTCTGTGAAGGGGATGTTTTGCTGTTGGAAGCTACGAAACATTTCAGGCATGTACAACTTAACCCTTGTCCTGCTGGCATTTTTACACAGTAGATCACAGACCCTTGACTTTTTTTGCCCTGCGTTGGCGTAGTTACTTCCGCATTTGTTACATTTCACTGTGGTGTGATGCGTTGCACTAGAAATACCCCCAAATCGTACATATACAGTGCGCTATATAGATGGTACTATACATGCAGCCTATACATATATGGGCTCCACAGGACAAGGGTTAATAATGATTAGCGTTAAATTTTTTGTGTTTGTAAAATAGAATACATAGGCAATCTATTGAATAAGTTACAAAGAAAAGAATTTGATTGATACACCACTGTGCATGTTGAGGGATGCAAAGAAAATGTATTTTTTTGCAAATGATACTTTAATCATATGTACACTGGATTATAAACTGTAAATATTGAGTCAAGGAAAAATTATAAGTCAGTTAGAGTCGATATCAGTTTTGAATTGTAATACATGTATTATCATAGACGAAGTGCTTCAAGCTCCAAGATATTGTTGACACCCCATTTTTGAGCCATATACAAACTGATCATGAACTGGTGTTAGTGTGTTTATGTTTTTCACTGAAAGGATAACTTTAACTAAAAGGCTACATGGTGACTCTACTAGGATTTCCTTTAGTTTTTACAGTGCAGTGAAGCACAGAAAATAAATAGCAGGAATGGAAGAAGTGTCTGTACTTCTGTGTCTTTGATTTTCTCTTTATAATACCACAAGAGTTGACAATGAGATAATTATTACCAAGAAAAGAAAAATCACCGGCAATCACCTTGCTAATATTTGAAAACAATTCACAGCTCTCTTCGAACGCCAATTTAGTTAGTTAATTGCTCATAAATAAACAAACGATAGTACCAGAAACACCTGTGGAGGTAAATTTCAATTTATCCTTTGGATAGCCAGGGCCAGGGGTACGAAAAATTTATCAGAATTTTACGGAATTCATACGATCCTTACTAGGAAACATACGAATTTTACGGAATACATACGATCCTTACTAGAAACATTCGAAGTCTACGAAATACATACGATCAATTATTACTAGAAACATATGAATTTTACGGAATATAACGTTACGATCCTTACTAGAAACATACGAATTTTACGAAATACATACGATCCTTACTAGAAACATACGAATTTTACGGAATATATACGATCCTTACTAATTTGGTAAATGCAGGCATACCATTAGCACGCATTGTCATTTTACTTCGCTAGGTGGCGCTATTGCACTGCATAATTACAAAATGGCGGGTTTTGCTAAAGATTTGGTTTAGTGCTGTATTATTTTCGACGATTTCTCTCTTGTCTGGATAACAACATGGCTTCAAAGGGTACCGAAGGTTTCGGAAACATCGCGTGGTGGGGTTTTAGTCCTGCACAGGACTTACAAGACTTGGGAAAGGAGCTGAGACTGGAAAAATTGACGCTTTCAGAGTCCGCCGAATCTTCGAGAGATCTGAATGTTTTGCTGGTGGGAGCTGGAGACTGTAGACACATTTTGAAGACCATTGCTCAGTCTTACAGGTGGCACAGAAGGAAGATCAACGTACGTATGTGTAAAGATGTCTGTAAGGACAAGCATAATTACAGCAGAGTGTGGAATTCTAGCGAGGGACGATGAAGTGTGGGAGGGGGGCGTCCGCTCGATTTCGTTCCCATGGTAATGTAATCAAACGCATCAGCTGTGTTAAAGTAAAAAGTTTTTTTGGTCACTCAGGCTTTTCAAATCTTAATTTCAAGCAATAGTATGAATTATTATTATGTCGTAGTTTTGATCCAGCATTTTGATGAGGCCATAATTATTGCTTGTCAGACTAAATTAAATTATATTTTGATGAATAACATTAACATCTATAACAGCCTTCACGTTATAACTTACCTGTCATGTTAGCCCATATATACATGCATAAGCTTGTACCTTCCAATGAATTTTTTTGTAAGCTGAATGAAGTATGAAGTCTAACAAATTGTTTTTAATCTCTGTTGCCCTGCACAGTTCTATGTCGTAGAGAACCAGTTGGAGTTGTTACTGAGACACCTGTTGTTACTGCACATCGCTCTGGAACCTCCGGCCAGGATGGGGCTGCAGGGTAAGGCCTGTTTCATCTACTCAGCACGTCGGCAGAACGTACTGCGCCTGCGCAGAACCCCGTATTTTCGCGTTTTTCGTTGGGTTTTTGGTCAACATTGCATCAGAATTTTGCAGAGGATATTCTTTCCGACATAACATTTGGAAACTACTGTCGAAATGCTAACCTTATATGAAGGAATACAACCTTATATGAGACATTCTGCCGAAGTGCTATGCACAATACATTACGGGTTTCACGCAGGTGCAGTACGTTCTGCCGACGTGCTCATCTACTCTAACCTCCTTGGCAGGTGCTGTGATACAGGCTTAAAATTTTTGGCGCATAAAGTGCTTTTTTGTGGCATATCAGTTCTTAGTACTTGTTTCTTGATGAAACCATTGAGTAGGCATAATATAGTGCCGAAACCTGATATTATGGTATAAGAAAAAGAAATTGACATTTTAAAAATGACAGTTATACATGTAACGTTATAGTGTTAGTTACTGTTACACCAGTCCTGGCTACATAAGCCATGAAAACTGTTAGAGATGTTTTTATTCACAGAGAAAACTGAGTTGTACCTGGAGGTTTTTGGAGATGCACTTGTACGAGAACAGACAGCTGACTACATCAGAACCAAGGCTACAGACTTCATAAAACTCATCACAGGTACAGGTTTCATTATCTGAGACTTTTTAGAAATTGTGAGTTTTTTCTGTTTTCATAGTTAGTTCAAAACCTTGGCGTCTACAACACATTTTCAGAGATTGTGTATTGCAAACTGATGACAGTAGTTGGGGCGATAAAAAGATTGTTAGGAAAGTTTAATTTTGCCAGCTCTCAGTAATAAAACTGTCCTGATGTCTACAACAAATGAAAACAACTATAAAAATATATCATTGAAAAGACAGAATTTAAGTCTAGTAACCATACAATATATAAACGTAAGAGTAAAACTAAAAGGGATACAATGTCATACAGTGCTTATCATTTGTCCTACAACAGATGCAGACAGACTGGCGTGTGACATGCCGCTGGTGGACATGACGATGTTGAAGTTCCGAGAACGAGACGCGATGGAGGCCATCTGTAAGTTCTGGCGTGACCCTGAGGTCAAGTCATTCGACATCGCCAAGTTCTGGTGAGTCCAGAAAACAACAAGCAATAATTCTCAAAAAGCAGTAGTGATACAAAATACATATCTTCTAGTAGACTCTATCAATACTTTTAATCTTGATTGATAGTTGATTATACTGTAGTTAGTATAGTAAAATAGTAAAATAATTTGATCAGAAACCCCCCCAAAAAATTAATTTTTTAATGAAACGAATCTTCATTTCAAATGATGCTTCTAGTTAAGTTGCGTAGCATACTAATATAAAAAAATCATGTTTACTTGTTTTTTAAATTTTAATGAATGATGATCTGAATAAGATGGCGTACGTTGTCTGTATCGCAGGGACGCCAGACAGAGGCGGTACCTGGAAGTCCGTTACGACAGTCGGAAGAACGTGTACGACTGGGACCGCACCATGAAACTACACGAGAAGGACGTGAGTTTGAAACTTGAGTTCTCTCTTAAAACAACAGTAACTGTTGTTTTCACTGTAACTGTTATTTTTTTCTTCCGGGTATGAAAGTATTGTTTTGGGTGCCGCCGTGCCGGTGATGTGGGTTGGTCTGTCTGACTGTCCAGACTGAGTAGGTTGACAGCACAGGGGTGGGTGGAATATTGACAGGCAGGATGACAGGTCAAAAGGTCATGCACAGGAAATGGGGTGAACTTGAAGGTCATGAAGACCCTAAATACTTTTTATAAGTTAGAAATCTTGGTTTTCTGTTTTTCTTGCAAACAAAACAAAGGAAAACTTGCAAGTGAGTGACTGACTGACTGAATGATTGAAGGAATGAGTTTAGCTTATTATGGATGAAGGGATATATATGTAAATGTTAAATGAAGAAGACCAAAGAATTAGTGACAGATTTTTATGAATAAATTTGAGAAACAATATTTGAATTTTTTTTTACTTTCCTCAGGCTAAAATCCTGCATGGTTCGGAGTATAACCGATGGAGAGAATCAGGCGTGGCGTTCCAAGTCCGTGAGGGAGACTACACGGTGGGGAACCGTACACTGGCGTCTGGGGTGTTACTCAAACGGGTAAGTTTCTTCATTTCTTCCTAGAAGACTTTGTTTAATGGTAGCTGACTGAATTGTGCACTATGATGTCTCTTATACAGTATCATGTTGCAGCAAGCTGGAATTGTGAATACATTAAACTTTATTGCACAAGCCCATTGTGCAAGGTACAAAGCATGACATCTAATGGTATCAATGACATGTACTGGTATGGCAGTAACAAACATACCATGAGACTAAATAAATGTACTTTACAAAGACTAATATAGTATGTACATGCAGTATGGGATGAGTATCTGCTTTTACAGTCAATGGTTGAATTTCTAGTCATCCAAATGTGTCAATGGTGTCCACTCATGGGAAATGACAAAAATCATAGTGACAGGTGGTCACTATAGAGATAGTAATATATAGACGGTATTCTTACTGCTTTGGTCAATGGAAGAAATAATCTAAGGGACCACCAAAAAGTGGTCACAATGGCCAGGTGGTTCTCAGTCAGAGCTTAGATCACTCGTACAGGGTTGACTTTACAATGTGTAATTTCACGATTTATGAAAACGTTTATTGTTTGTTTGTTTGTTTGTTTGTTTGTTTAGGAGGGAGAGAGGATCCCTGCCCGGGGATATTGGGGGGACATCGCGACCGGCCCCTTCATCAGTCACGGGTTAGAGTCAGAGAACCAGGATCTGTTCAAGACTGCCAACGGACTCCATACTGGGGTAAGAGGATACTTACAATATAAACCTTTTTCCTGCTGCCCAAACCTATAGTTTAAACAGAGAATTGGTAGCCAAATGGGTACTTCAGTGTGCTAAAGGTTAAAAACAAAGTTTATGATATACTGAACACCAGTTGTCTTATGGTAAAGGCTCACTTGTTACACATTGTTCAAATAGAATTATGTATGGCATGGGCCATAAATAAGTTTATTACAGATGATCAAAATCTCTGTATTTAGAGTGTCTGCTGATGTAATTTGTTCTTTGAGAGTTTGAAATTTGCTATGTTATTTGTTGTTATTTTTTTGTACTAGTTATGATCTTGTTTATATTTATTGTCTTTAGGCCTTCCAAGTTGATCCATGTTTTTTTATCAACTTTTCAGTGCTGCTCATTTGTGTCAGAGTACAACCTGCTGGCCATGTTCCACGAGATTCTGCACAAGGAGAGATACGTCCCGCCTAAAGAGGAGAAGGACTCTGGGGAGAAGAAAGGAGCGACACTGACAGAGATAACAGAGGAGGAGGAAGAAGAGGAAGATGAGGGACCAGAGAAACCATCTGAAACATCAGGAGGAGGAGATAGAGGAGATGGTACAGCTAAGGAAGAAGATCAAGGTGTGGTTGGGAATTTGATGCTTAGGATCTTTCTGTAACTGATGTTTGTAGGTCATACATGTGTGTACATGTACATTCAGCATATCAGATTCTGTTTTTGTACCATAGTAATTAACCTGTAGCCTGCTAAGTTACGGATTTGGCACCAAATTTGTCTTATGGGGTTAAGCAGCAGGGAGAACTTCAAGGTTAATAATGATGGCTCAGAATTAGCAGGAATTCTGTGCTGTCATCGTTACGTTATCGTCAATAAAGTTTGATTTATGATTGTCGACTATCAATTTAACTGAAGTATATAGCTATTTGGCTACCAATTTTCTATAGCTTACGGGGTTAGGTGGCAGAAGGTTAAAGATGATATATAAAACTATTGTTTAGACAACATGTTGTTGTGCCTTAAGTTTGTTTATACATTAAATTTTATATTTGTCAGGTTGAGTAATAATCAAAAGTCACAGAAATGTTGGATGTGAAAAGTTCCTGGTGTTTTAATAAAAATTCTTCATATACATCAGGCAACTGAAATCTCTCTCCTCTCTTTCGCAGGACTGATCCCCTGTCCAGACTTCAAGGTTCACTTCCTGCCTCTGAACGCCTGTAGCGACATCCCGCGCCGCAGTAAGTACGCCGGGCTGTTCGACGTGGTGTTCTTTGCCAGCGGCATGGTCCACGGGATCACTCCGGAGCTCAACGCTACCCTCGCGGACGAGGCTGTCATCATTGTAGAGACAGCAAAGTGAGTGTTGTTATTTCAAACACTAACACCCCGTTCACATTAAATCCACCTCTGGGATCCAATTGCGATTGAATGAGCATTGCCTCCAATTGTGATTGGATCCCGATGCATTCACACTTGTTCCTTCTGCATGGGAATTGCTGTCAATCGCGATTGGATCCAACTCTCAGAGATGGATTTGATTAATTGCGATACAGTCACGATTGGAGCATTCACTATATTGTTTTAAATTTGTTTTGATTGAAAACTGTACAGACATATGTACACATATCCAGAAACGCATGTCCAGAAATACTAGACTAATAATTACATATTATACATGTATTCTGTTGATTTATAGCCTGGGTTCCATCCTGGTTAGTTTACGTCCGCTCCGTTAGTTTACTAACCAGGATGGAACCCAGGCTAGTTGATTTACATTATTTTCCAATTTCTAGATATTTTACTTTGGCAAGCAAACCATGGAATTATTCAATTGATAGAACTACAAAAATCTATGTGCTATCTAGCTACATTGTATACATAAGCATTATGTAGTAAAATTCTTTAAGAATTTAATGACAAATCTTAAATTGGTTTATACATGTTTTAAAGCTTCAAACTGTTTTGACAGGTACTTGATAGACCTGAGGAATGAACAACTGGAGGAGTTTGGGAAAAAAGTTAACGAGATGGCAGCTGCAGCAGGCTGGAAGGTACGTGGGTTCGGGGGTCTTTGGACAGGGGTGAGAGAGTTAGGGGGTCCTGACTCAGGTAAAAATTGCCATAAAACTTGGCAATAAAGTAGGTATATCTAAAGATAAAGAAACTTTTATGACAATTTCTTTGAACGGCACTCTTTGCCTCTTAACTCCTTTCAAAATATGTGATTTTTTTCATCTACTGTATTAATTTTAATTTTTTTCTGTCTTTCAGCCCATCTCTGCGTGCGACTTCACAAAGGATGTGTTTGCAAAGTACCAGTTCAAGAGGAATTCATGAGCAAATTGGAAATGGATTCGCTTTCTTCACTATGCAAAATTCTGTACAAACCACACAATGTGACTACACTGCAGTCCAGGAAATTTTCTTGCCTTGCAACTCTGTGACAATCAAAAGAATAGTTTGGAATTTTAGTGTCATGTTTTGCTGTAGCTGTACATTATTATATGACATTCCAGGTATCAGTATCTCTATCTGTATAGCAGTATAACTGCCTTTTGGTATAACACACAGTATCATACGGGTGTAATATGACTTGGTTGTGTAAAATGAGTTTTTTACTCAGTGACTTACCAACCTGATGAAACTCTAATATGAAGTTTGAAGTTAGTAGATGAGATCTTGATTTGATATCATATTTTGTACAACAAAATGTTACGCAAAAAGTATCTGACTATTATTAATAAATCAGACTGCAACGACAGGATTGACTGAGAGAAAATAGCTGTAAATAGCAATGTGACAGAAAATAAAAATTTCCCACCATGTTTTTGTGATGTGTTTTTCTTGTGTGTGTTTACTTTTATATAATAGGAAAATTAATGTTGACAGGTAACATGCTACTGCAGAATTTCAAGCACTTGTATAGTTGTATTATATACACGCATACAATTGCTGGAAATTAATACGTAAAATACCTAGTATTCAATGGAAAACAGTTTTACTTAGTAAGTTGATTGTAGTTAAGGACTTTTATCATGTATAAATAGCATGTTTTTCAGAGATTATAGCCTTCTTGCACTCTGTAAATGCAGAAATTTTGACAAAAAAGGCTCATATTCAGCCGCTGGTACAAGCCGTTCTATAAATGTTTGCCTCAAAATGAAAATATACAAGACTAAAACGGTTCTTTCCTGATCTATTCGTGATAGTCAGGATGGGCCTCAAGGTCAAGAACAAGAGCGAGAAAGACCTTGAGTAAAACCCCCATAAGAGCCCATCGCGTTTCCCCACTCGCGAAATGGCCGAATCTGGGAATGAGCGAGGCTTCTTTAGCGAGATACGGCCCTTTCCGGAACAGGAGCCCGAAAACGGGGGTGTGATAGGGGATGAATTTCCGCTTTTTCAATTTCAGAAAAATCAAACTTTTGGCCTTTTCCGGTGCCCATATTTTCAGAGTATATTCCTAGTAGTCTGCTTTATAATCCTGCTAAATGCCTTCGTCCAAATTTTCTTCGTTCTCGAGTTATGCGTAAAAATGTGTTTCGGCGATCAGCTGATCGCTTGCAGAACTGAAGTTTTCGCCGTCGAGGGCCGTCAAACTCTGGTCCAAGACATTACCATATGAATGGAAACCAAGCAGATGTCAGGAAGGACGGTACTCTTTTGTACATGTTTGTTGTCTTTTCTAGGTCATTCCGTCATTCAGATATCTCATCTCATGCCGTTTTTTTTTTTTACAATAAAGGAATAAATGATCTGAAGTTTTTGTTTGGCTCCTTTTTGGCTTCCTTCAATACCGCCGTCTGCATGCACCACTACCACTGCTAGCCTGGTGACCATTGTTTACGGACCAGCTCTGGGCCTGGGAGTGTTTTACCATCCGTCCCCATTCTTCTTCTTCTGTTTGGCACAGGGCTTTCTGACAGTCTACCTTTTCAGCCAGCCTAACTGATTACTTCCGTCTCATAGGCAGCGTGATGCTCCTATATAAACCGAACCAGCACGTAAAACGCTCGGCGCTGGGCGGGCGTGCACCCGCGTGCAACCATTTCAGCACCGCGGAGATATCCGGGAGCCTACGGTGGTTCGGCCACCCGAGGCGAGTCCAACACATGAGCAAAATGCTTACCTGACAGAAAGAGCCCCGCTTCATATATCTAACAAACGTTAACAGTTCCTAACTCAGATTATTTCCTCAGCTGTACATTCTTATTGTCGTTACTAGCTGGCTAAGGAGCCGCAATCACGGCGCAAGGGTTGATGGCCATTTGATGTAGAAATCGCCATGGATCAAAAGCGCCCCGGTGCGGCGAAAGAAAATTACTGCAGTAGCGCGAGCAGAAATGCCAACATGGTGGTGCAGTCCTGAAACGAACTGCTAGAGGCCGCTCTTGATCCATGTACTTCATCTTTGTAACTTTGCTGCATTCAATCGATGATTAACCGACATAAAGTTGCAAATAAAGCAAAGAGACGGAACTTAGAGACAGTTACAGCCCACAAGTACTTGTTGCGACGTTCGTAGGGATGGAATAAATGTATACGTACAAAGAATCGTTCATTTACACGCGTTTTTGCATTACTTGTCAGTACTGACATTGACGCCATGCTGGCCCGCGGCTTTGAGGTTCACAGGTGGTGCATTTGAATGATAGGATTCATGTCTGACGTCAAATTTCCAACACCGCGCGAGGCGAGGGGAGGGGGTCGAGACAGTGCATGACATGGCGTGTTATGTTTGATACAAACGCGTGTACTGTAAACGCGTGTACTGTAAACGCGTGTACTGTAAACGCGTTTACTGTAAACGCGTTTACTGTAAACGCGTGTCCTGTAAACGCGTGTGCTGTAAACGCGTGTACTGTAAACGCGTGTACTGTAAACGCGTGTGCTGTAAACGCGTGTACTGTAAACGCGTGTACTGTAAACGCGTGTGGTGTAAACGCGTGTACTGTAAACGCGTGTACTGTGAACGCGTGTGGTGTAAACGCGTGTACTGTAAACGACGTGTACTGTAAACGCGTGTGCTGTAAACGCGTGTACTGTAAATGCGTGTGGTGTAAACGCGTGTAATCTCGTTTCCCGTCGGCTGAACAGACAATCACGTGACCCCTACCCTGATACTAATTATTCCGCCCCTTTACCCTCTGACCCTTCCTCCCTAACCCTCGTAAGGGTCATTCGTGGCTCAACCTTTCTCTGTACGGTCACATTTGTTTGGCTCCCGATCACATTGTCCCAAGCGTGTGTAGTTACATTTTCCCCTTTGGCTTCTTCCGCTGGTCACTGGATTACTTCACCCTGTACTTCTGCTCGTGTGGATTCCCGTCTCTCTGACTGTTTCTTGTGTAGACGTTCGTGTTCCACGTAAGTTGAATATTCCGCCATGGATCTTGACCTCTACACCAGAACTACATCCCGTATGTGCGCCCAGCGGCTCTGCTGATTTCTGCGCGCCCCTGTGCTTCAGTTTCGTCGCGTTTCTTCACATCGGTCGTCTGTTCCACGGATTTTGCGCCAAGTCCCCATCGCCTCGGCAGACCGGACCACCTCGAGCTCGGATTCCACTGGTTACCCCCGCCCGCCTGACGATGGAAGTTCTGTAGCAGGTTTTCCCCACTCCTTTCCATGTTCCCCCCGTTGTTTGTATTTTGTTGTGTTCTCGTTAAATGTACTACCGTAACCGGTTTTATAATACTCTG